ACTAGAAACATCCTTATATTTTTACTCGATGCTTTGACCATGCAGAAACTTTAGCTTTGGTATTTTGGCCACAACTCTATAAATTATCTGCGAGCATTTAGAGCACGAGGCTTCATTAAATGGTCAAATCCATTTTAGGCCTGCAGTTTGTGTTTTTGTCTGTAATTTGYAGGAACACTTCATGATACAAATCGATAACAGAGGATACATTTTTGATCCAGTTCAGCCCCACTTATATCTTGTTGCACCAAGACTGCTTGGATTAAAAAGAAATCCTTGTTCCAGCAGCTGAAACAGAAGCCTAACAAGGAGTTATGACTCGGCCYGCCACCGTCCCCACCTCTCCTCCCCTCTCAGTTGAATGTGGCTGAACGCCGCAGACATAATCCCGTGTACATTTGCAGATCAAACTTGTAGCGATAAAGTTAAGGTTATGAAATGTCTGGCGCGAACGTYGGCTCAGCTGCAGCCAGCGGGAAACTCGACACTTTAGGGCTTAGCTCTGTCGCCAGCGACAAATCCTTCAAGGTGGCCAAGCGGGCGGGCTGCGAACTAGCTGAAGAAAGCGGGGAGAAGAATAAGGGGAGGAGAGAACCCCACTCCCTTCATCCGAGCTCTGTGCTCACCCTAGTTAACCTCAGAAAAAACACACACGCAGCGGTCACGCAGTCAACACGCAGTGATTAAAAGCTTGGGCAATTACTCACAAGCAAGCATCACTCATTAACTGCTAGTTTATTTATTAWAATCATTTGCAAGGATCTGTGAAATGCAAATGAGGGAAAAATGTATAAAATGTGAGTGACTGCATTTTTGGGCCACTTGGATGACAATATTTACATACAATGTGGTCAAAATATATTGGGATATAATGTTTACAGTAAAACTGGGCCTGTGTGTGTGTATTCCTTCCTCTGCCACCTGTTTTCTGTCTTGTCAGAAATGCAACACTGTTTCCATGGCTTGGACGTACTGTAAGGGGGTGTCAGTTAATGTCAGTGTGACATTGTGTGGATGAGGGGGTGTTTAGGACAACAAGAAAATGTTGGTTTAAACGAGCAGACCGGGTTGACTCAGGTGCCCTCAGTTACGATCCATTGGTTCCCCTAAAAGACATCATTCGTGCCCTGCAGCCAATCCCAGGCTGCCATGTGGTGCTGGCATCTTATTGGAGGAGAGCTATTTAGCAAAGTGCTSTCAGGCGAATGATGGGCAGGGTCCTGGGGATGGAAATGAAATGTGGTCCCCCGGAGCAGAGAATTTCAGAGGAATTGGAACATTTTTTACTGACAACTGATAACATATAAACAGGGAGCTTGTAAAATAAAGATGCTGTTTTAAGTCACCAAATTTATACAATTTCATCAAACACGCTGTTTCTGACATCTACCACGATGTTTCAGCCGTACAGTATCTCTGCTCACCAGTACAGAGCCCCGGTGTGCTGTTCTGTGCTAATGGGTGCTGTACTCAGCTTAGGCCGTGCCAAGGTCAATTACTGCACAGGTAGAGCTTTTGGCTGCACCGTATTATTGCTTAAGCACACATGGGCCGGTAATAGCTACTAACCAAGATTATACAGAGTACCCACGGCTCGCGAGGCACTAATCCAGTGCTCTGAACGGTTCTGGTCAACATCAGATCTGAGCATTTATTTCATTAACCAGCTGTTTCCCCCTCAGCTTTAACCCTGTATTCCATTTCCCCAAAGAAATTAACTGTAAATCATTCAGACACAAGCCAATTCATATTAAATATATAATGTCTTAATATGAGGATATATGCAATTTATAAAAGTAGAACATAGTACAAAAAAAAAAAAAAAAAAACAATAACAAGAGGGTGCAGTAACAGAGAGTGAAAGTGGCCATCTGTCTCCTGGATGAGCTCCTGTAGCAAGAAGCTCAACCTACACTATGATATGTGACTCAGCAAGTGCTCCATGAAGTCAGGGATTCAGTATTTCTTTTAGCTTTTATTTCCTCCAGTGCAACCGATACCTGACATTATGGTGTTAAAATACTAACAAATTCTTTTTTTTTTCTTTAAATAAATTTTGTGCAAAAAAAAAAGTTCAGATCTTTTGAGGTGGGCTCTGAGGAAGGATTATGAACAATTAACATCTTACCTATTAACAAACTACAGTAATGCTTAGATTGAGTGGCACTAAAATTAATCCAAAAAACAGATTTAGAAACAAAAAACAACCGCACTTCTATTCTGAAGCTGAAATATTCACAATACGTCATTATATTTATGTTATGATATTCTTGCAGAAAGTGCTGCAGGCCGCACTGGAAGTGTTACATTTGCAAACGACCCCAGGATTCAATATAAATAACTGTGAAAAGATAAAACTGATGACAAGATAAAGATAAAACTAATGTTGGCATGAACCGTTATAAAAATTATTTTTAAATGAAGTTGTTTTAGGACAACTGTAATCCACTTTGATCTTTGCCCGTCTTGGACTAACTGTTTGCTTCACAGTCTGGTCAGTGTTACCCTTCAAAGAGTTTCTACAACAGGTAAGATGTTCATTTTCCCATGACCATGCCACAGAACTCCACTCTAAAAGATACTATTTCTTTAAAAAGGGAAATACGTTTAAACTCCTCAATAATTAAAAGCAACAGGAATGCTATTTACGGGGAGGAGGACGAATGACTATAAACAGACTCAAACAAAAGTTGCATTGCTTTTTGAGGTTTGTTAAATGCAGGACGATACAAACTGAACGACACTGCACTGTTCTCATTAACACAGACGTACAACCACTGATGATGAGCACTGAGGAAATCAACATTTATATCTACGTATATTAGGCAGAGCAAAGTAAGTGTACAAAGGCCAATATTTGAAGATTCTTTTTAGATTTATCATKTAGGAAATTTCTGGGATAGTTAAATTGCTGAAAGGCTTGAATCGTATTTGCTGATGAGTTTTTTTTTTCTAAATCTGTGCCATAAGACTGAAAAATATACTGTACAGCACAGGACCAATGTGAAGCAAGTGTTTTACCAGATAAACCTTTTGGAAGATTCTTCTTATGACAAAAGTCAGATGCAGAGACAGAAACGTGTACCTGTGAAGCCCATCAGAGCACCTTCTCTGGACTGTTGCCTCAGTCCCTCCACGTCTTTATAGTCKATGTAAACCAGATCAATCGCCTGCAGCCCAAAGGCTTTGGTGGTCACAACCACCTTCTGCCGAGCGTAGAGAAGCTCGCTGGCATCTTTAGTCCGTGTGGCACCTGAAGTTGGCAGAGGAAAGCAGTGGAGGCAAGTGATGATGAACAAAATATACAGAATTATTTCCTCTATATATTGTTACCGTACATCAACAACCTTCATTATACTGTACTTTACTGCAATTTTTTTTATAATAAACCAACACAATTTTACAGTTGAAGGAACACACTTTTAAAATGTTTTTACAAATACAAATCTGAAATCTGGAGTGTTTTTTACATTCAGCCCCATTACTCTGATATCATTGACTAAAATCCAGTTTGACTTCAGACGTCACTTAATCAGAAAACATGATGCACCTGAGTGTAATCTGATCTCAGTATAAAGACAGTTGTTCTGTGAAGACCTCACAAGTCTGTTACAGAACATCAGCCCAACCAGCATCATGAAGAACAAGGAACATCCCAAACAGGCCAGAGRTAAAGGTGAGAAGTTTTAACCAGGATTCGATTAATTGGTTTAAATTTGCAGCACATTTAAATCAACATAATTAAACGGAAAAATGGAGTCCATGAGCAGATGAACTTGTTAAATTTTACTATCCATTTACCTTCTACTCTTAGACAAAACAAAAAATAAACAACTTACACACAAACTTAAAAATGACACTTTATCCCACCTCCTACTCATTAAAGACCAATAGCGTCCTGATCCAGACCCCGCCCCCCCCTGCACACACATTTTTAAAAAAAATTCTTTAATCATTGATATCAAGATGTCATTTTGCACCACACATCCACAAATTATATTTGTACTAAATAAGAACAACTCTTTTCTACAGTTCTTTAATCATATGTTCAAAATAAGAAAAATGCATGTCATCTCTTAGACCAGGGGTCTGCAACCTTTATAATCAAAAGAGCCATTTCTGCTGCTTGGCTCACTAATAAAATGTGTCCAGAGCCGAAAAACAAGCTACAACTGTGACTATCAAACTGGTGGTCCGTGGGCCTTTTCGAGGCCTTTTTGGGAACCTTTATGGCCAGTGGAGGTGATATTATAAAACTAAAAAAATATACTGTGAATTTTATTATTTACTGCTATTTTTACACATCGGGACGAATGGAAAGACCATATTCATGTAAACAAGAAAAATACTGTATATAATAGTTTATAATGAATTTCAGAAAAAGTAGTACAACTGAACTATTCAGACATATTTTTTTCTAATTCTTATGTAGTCTTCAAATTATTTAAAGGTTTTCTGATGGATTTGAGAGAAAGATCATAGAAAGAAGTTGGATCACTTAAGTACATAACAGGCTAGCATGTTTTACTTAGTACTGATCACATATATGCATACAAATAAATTTTTGTTGTGGGTATTAAAAAACACACAAAAAAGTTTCTGTTATGTTTGGCCAGATTTTCGAAGAGCCACTGCTGAGGAAYCAAAGAGCTGCATGTGGCCCCAGAGCCGCAGGTTGCAGACCCCTCTCTTAGACAGACTGTGTTTTTTCCACACAGAAAATTAAACTATGATGTCTAATCTGCCACARATAGAGAACTAAAGAGCAGCTTTCTGTAGAAGACACAAGCATGTGGGGTTTTAAACAGAGTCTGTGGTTCTCACCTATGCTGGCACAGAAGTCATCAGAGCCAAACACCACGCCGTCGTGATGGAGACCAGCCTTAGGAGCAAGCTGACGGATTTCCTCACACACAGCCTAAAGAATGTATATCACAACAGGATACAGGCAGACGGAAGGAAAAGTGAAGCAAACAGGAAATATATCTTGAACATTTTGGCAAAAATTCTCCTTATTATATTCAATATGTACACTGCATATAGAACAGCCATAATGACTCAACTATTTTTAATTTCTCAAACTTAGATTACACAATTTAAGATGTTTTGTCGCAGTCACACAAACGTAAAGAACACAAACAGCAGGGGATATAAAGAAAGCCCCTTTCATCTTAGACGACTGCATATACTGAAAGTCTAGGAGTGCTAATATTTCACCACAATAGTTTTTAAATATGCTGGTTCAAATTAATAAAAAAGCTGTGAAATTCATATTTTTTTGCCTTTTTAAACAACCTATAAAACAAATGTTTTTCATGTTATAAACATTTTATTTTGACTAACATCTTTAACAGTTCAGTTAGGAAAGTATTAACCAATTGTTCCTTAATTCTGGTTATTTTGCCTTTTTTAATGTGAGCAGTATAAAATTAGAGTAAAAATAAATCAATTTTTGTCAGAGTAACAGGTTGAACCGGCAGCTGCAGTCACAGAACACACACAAAAGTCTTGATCGTCTGTGGTGAGGGTAAAACAAAATGAATGTGTTTTATTCTTCTTTTTTTTTTGAACCACCAAATTATAACCACCACTAGCTGTGCCACAGCAAGATTTATTTTTCTTCTAATTTCCCTGCTTGTAACCTGGTGTTCATCAGGGCAAAAATGCAGGGTGTGTTCAAGGAAGCGCTCAAAGGCACCCTCCTGTCATTAAAAACACACACTCACAACCACAAACCCAGTCACAGAATGAGAAAGAACTGAAAGACAAACCGAAAGAAGAAACGCCAGCTGGTTTCTCCTCAAACCCTCCACAACTATCCCCCTTCCTGCACAAGTAGCTGAAGGTCATGCTGCATTCTAACAAATCCATTTGATGCTTTCCAAAACATCATGAAGAACTTTTCAACTATGATATTAAAACGGCACTAATTAAAAATGCCAGCATGTCTGAAGAGGGACAGAAACAGGAAAAAATAGTCTCAAAAGGCTCATTTTGAGAGGCAGTCTACAATCCCCTTTTTATTTTGGACATGAGGAGATCTCTGCACGCTGATGCTGTCTTTAATCTAAGGCAAACAATGGACAAACAGCCAAATGCCTTACGTGTGCAGTTTTTTTTTTTTTTTTTTTGGATAGGGTGGGGTTTAGCTTGTGATTTACCTTAAAATTGAGTAGGCCGACAGCGGTTTCCACAAAGGTGATGAGGCGCACGGGTTCTGTCAGCGTCCGTCCTTTCAAGTTGTGCTGAAACCTGTCAACAAACTACACACGCAGAGGAAACGTCTCAGATGCAACTCATTAACAAAACCCACTGTTTCTGTGACGAGGGAGCAACAAACCTCTCAACAATCACAACAAATTAATCCATTCTCAGTACTTTGTACAATGGCACCTCCACATTCATGGGATTTTTATTCTTCCTTAAACGCGTTATATTATATTATTTAGAAATACAAGTTTTCAGCTTGAACTCATTAGGAAATCTGATGACAATTGGACGGAAGTGAATTATTTGTTCTGATTTTTCTATTAAATGGCTTCAACACACTCAATTGACTTTTGTCAACTGATTAGATTTCCCTTGTTTAAATATCAAACAGATAAAAATAGAAGAGCGAGCTAATATGATTTTACCACAACAAAATATATTTCAATCAATTAGATGAATATTTTTTAAAATTTGTGGTTTAGGATGAGAATAGACTTTCTTATGCATCTTTGAGGGTTCAAATAGCACAGAGTGAAAGGTACAGGAGATGCAAAAACAAAAGCAAGTAAAATATACATTTTTTTAAACATTTTCACCAGGGTACCCCCCCCCACCCCACACACACACACACACACACACACACAGACACACACCTCTGAAGTCTTCTTTCAGAGGCTCTCCTCAGCCACAGCTCTGCTCCCCTGAGAGAGCGTGCACACATGTAAATGCACAGATCCGGGCACCATCACATGCATACATAGCAAAGCAGAGAAGAAACAAAACACAGAAGAAAAGGGACGATCTGGGATATCTTTGAGTTTTTTKTTTTTTTTACTGCTACATTATTCTGTTTTGCGTGCCTCCTCTGTGGCAGAGAAAACAGGGAGACCGAAGCAACAATCAGAGTGTGATGTGACACTTTGCTGAGGCCTTTATTCTGTTCGACTCCTGCTAATATGCAAGCTCACCTAAGTAGGGTTTTAAAACCCAAGTTTAAATCTTTGAAGACCAAAGCGTTCAAATTTTTTCCAACAGACCAGTTCACAGCTAGCTTTGGACTACCAGTGGGGTTGCCCAAATTCCTAAATCTATCATCTGGAAACACACAAAAGCCCCCTCCGTCAGATATTTCCTTTCAAAGCCAGACAAAAAGAAAAAAAAAAGAGAAGAGAGTGCAAAAGCTCAGAGGAGAAATGTCTAAGTTCCCCCTTTTATCTTCTTTTGCTTCTTCTTTGACACACCACCAACAATATGAGATTCTTATAAATAACCTCAGGTATGTCGTGGCTATTTTTTAAAACGATGAACAACACAATAGCCCCCATGTTCGCACTCACCCACTCTCGTTCTCCAAACCAAAGGAGCGGACCTCCATTGAAGGATTTAAAAAAAAGAGGCAATTTTAATCATCTCTCCATTCAATCTCAGTTGGATAAATCATATCTGAGAGATTTGCATAAATACAAACCATCAAAGACTTTTCATCTTCAAAGAGGTTTTCAAGACCCAATGGGCTTTGTACTGTAATCATCTGAGGTCACAACCCTGTGGGAGCAAGGCTGCTATGGCAACATAAAAACTAACGCTGGGGGTTTAGCATAATATGCCCCCCTCATTCACTGACACGGGAAGTGGTGGCGGGGTCCGAGAGGGAGTGTGAAAACAGGGTGTAGATAAACCCATTTCTGTGACGGAGGAAACTAGATAGATATGACGCGTTGTGGCAAAATCTTGCAGATATCACAGGCGGAGATATTACGGCCAAACGCGCCATGCCCAAGCAAACCTGAACAAGGCTGTGGCTGAGCTGTTCAGAATTTACAAAAAGAGAACATGAGACAGCTCTGTCCAAACGAAAAAGAAAAAAAGCCTCTTTGATTACATGTTTCTGTCCTGGCACTCTCCTCTTCAGCTATTATACACTTTAATGGTCTGATTTACCAGGATAAGAGGTGCTATAGTTCCTGTTTGTTGTTATTCTGACACACACAGCAATCATTAGCTGTCAATAGCTATCAAAACTAAGACACTTCAAGGTGTTATTCACCACTGAACTGAAAAAAAAGGTTTGTTTAAAGAAGAAACACTTCTTCTTGCCATTCAAACCCGGGATACAAACAAGCCCTCTGACAATTTCCACTCCCAATCATGAAAAGAGAAGGAGGGAGACTACGCTAGAGAAAAAGGAAGCTATAGCGGGACAAGTTTCAATTAATTTTCTTCAAAAGGAGGCCAGATTAAATGTTTCCGGCCTGCTGAAGTGTTCATTTCACAGAGGGGAAGCGGAGAAAGGGGATGAGGGAAGGGGACGGGAGGAGGAGAGGAGGAGGAGGAGTGGGGCCAGGGTGCGATTCTTTTGGTCCCAGCGCACACCAAATAGTGTGGTGGGCAAAGAATGCACATGGCTCCGAATCTGTGTGAGAATTGTCCCCAAACAAAAGGAGGGAGTTACGCCTGTTACAGCCCAATAAGGCCTGTCAGTCACACAAGGGCCAGAGGAGAGCAGAGAGACAGAGCAAAAGATTTACGCACAAAGAGAAACAAGCAAGTCCATCTTTTGGCGACAAATCAGTCTGAAGGATCCTGTGCCAATATCAATAAAAAAGGGGTGAAAAATAAACAAGTGAGGGATTTACTGCCCTGCCTAACAAGAGTGGAGAGAATCAGACACATGCTTACAATACAAACAGACACAGAAAGAGTTGTGAGGGACTGGGGTAGGATTAGATGAACATGCATGACAGAATCAAGATCCCACTCCGAACTACAAAGTTATCATTGACTTAGGAGCATGCGTGTACCTGTTGCCACAAAAACACACAAATAAATCAAATACAAAAATAAAAAAAGAAAGAAAAGAAAATACAGCAAGCTTGAAGCCAGTTCTTATGATGGGACAAGTAAAGTTTGACTTGCGTAAATTAAAAACACAATTAGTTAAAGAAAAAAAATCAGGCAATTATCTGTATTTTTAAGTTTTAACGTGCTAACAATGGTTTTAAGCATGCCGTTAAAAAGAATAATAATGAAAGTAAATGATTTAAAGAAACTGYGTGACAAAAGTGGCCTTTTTTCAAGAGTAGCCATGGATGAAAAGCTGGGTGAGAGAATTGGCGAACACCTGTCAGCAATTATACTTGGAAGAAAGAAAGAAAAGGCAGCAGGAAATAGACATGCTCCAATTAAAACCACTAGTTAAAAACTTCCTGCGCCTGTCCCAAGAGCACATATGTGTGCATATTTCTGCTTGTGTTTGTGTGCACACATGCTCATTCAAGGTAAGAAACCAGACAAGACACATGCCTTTCACAACACATTAAACAGCCATTTAAGACTAAACTAAACTAAACTAAACTAAACTAAACTAAACTAAACTAAACTAAACTAAACTGCCTGTAAAGAGGTCCATGCTAAGAAATAAGGAAAAATCACATTAAGAGATCAAGTATTATGAATTATATGGGGATGAGTTGAGTCTGGAGGAGGATAGAGGCTGTCTAACAGACCTGGTTTAACCAAACACAYTGGGGTGAACTGGGAAYGTCTGGTGAAACCCTGCTGAACATRTGATCTTCAACTCACACCTCTGGAGGAGTTTTTCACATGTCCCAGGGGAGCTTGGGGACATKGAATCAGAATGGGACATCTTCAGGGCTTCAATTGCAGATGTGGCTTTCAGGACCTRTGGCCTGAGGGTCCAGATGAGGTGGCAACCAAAGGAACTACTGGTGGACATCGCCAGTGATTAAAACCCATCAAGATAAAGAAGGAGGCCTTTGGGGTATGGCTATCCCAGGGAGAACTCCAAAASCAGCTGACAGGTATAGAGTGGCCAGATATACAGCTTTTGTGGTTGCATCTGCAACCATGAAAACTTGGGCATGGGWGGAATTTGAGATGGCCATGGAGAAGGACATTTGGTTGGCTTTGAGGAAGTTCTGATAAACCATTTAGCTACTCAATAAAGGGAAGCAGAAAGTTGGTTTGGATGGGAAACTACTGAATCGCACTGCAGATATTGCTGAGTGATAGAAGGAGCACTTCCAGGACTTCCTTAACCCTTAACTATGTTCACCTTTGAGGAGGCAAAGTCCGAGGACTCAGGCGAAGATGAGTCCATTACCATGGCAGAGGTCATCGAGGTGCTGAAGGCACTGGTTGTTGAGCGACTTGGAGTAYACAGGATACTCCTTCCCATAAAAATAGTCAGCAAAGGTGGTTTGGGCATCGGATTAGGATGTGTCTTGGTTGCCTCCCTTTGGAGGTTTTTTGGACATGCAACACTGGGAAGAACCCCAGGGGCAGACCCAGAAATTGATGGAGGGAATTGATCAACATGAGTAGAAAGGAAAATGTATTGATTTTGATTAAGTCTTAAATGCATTTCATATACACATTTTTCATATTTATGCTTGAGATGTTTTGAATGTTGTTATAATCAAYGTGCAATCAGTTTATTTTCATGCTGTGGTAAAGTTGTTCTGAAGGACTACCCAGCCTTGCTTTGATACAACACAGTCAGATATTTAATGTTTTCACATCTGAGATTTCAGTATTTTGTTTGAGAATTGGGTCACCTGATAAATGAGGTCATGTTTATTCCTTCAATTATGCCATTTGAGGAGGTTGACTCAATTCTGGACACTGTTAAAAGGTACTGTGTTAAGATGAACGAGGCGAATTGTCAAGGGCCACACAGACGGTGTCTCTGAGCATAAGATGGAGGTTTTAGAGCTGCAAAATAAGGAGTGCACTGATTGAAGGTTTCTGGCTGATTACAGATCACCGATTTTTAAAAAGTCTCACCTGCTGATTCAGATTTTGGCTGATACCAATCTTATGTAAGTATTGGTCAATTTCCAATCTCTCAAAATTAAGGAAATTAATGCACCCCTATTTTAAATGAGAAAGGAACTTGGTTTTATGCGCATTTATTCGGGCATCTAATTTTGTAAAGCGTATCAATCTACATAGATTTGACTTTTCTTGTTTTCTAATCTATTAAATTTGACTCATCTTTAGTATTATGATGATATTATGTAGTTTTTTAAGAACTATTTTGAAAGAAGACCAGTTAACAATTTTGAACGGTGTGAAGGGAAAATATGCCTTGTTCAAAATGGTATGTCCGAATAAGCAGGAATCCAACTGGATTTCTTCTTAAAAAATTTATTCTCAATCTTCTGACTCCAATCAGGTTCACAGTACAGCACTCAGCAGGCCTCAGTGTAAGACAGGCTGAAAACAAAAGAAAAAACACAGGAGCTCTGCTCTGAACAGAGACTCTGCAACACACTAACTTCTTTTTTACTATAATAATGAATTGACCTTATAATGTACATCTCTTCCTGGTTACACCTGTGGAGGTGTTACTTTTTACGTCAGACGTCAGAAGGTAACTCATTTTTGTTTAGACTAAAGAAAGAACATATGATAAGACACACCAACTCTTTTTCTGCTTTAACTTAAAGACTGAAATGATCACAAAGTATAAAATACAATACTGCATCTAATATTCAATTAGTTACAAAATTTCCTTCAGGTGGTTCAGTGGGTCAAAGTCGATGCATKATTTTTGGCTCACCCATTTGACCTCCTGAGTGTCTTCCACTTTAGGCAACATGAAGGCAGGAGGAAGAATCTTTGATTGCAGAATGACTTGCAGGTCGTCYTCAGCTAGACCACTGGAAACAGAGTTCACCCTCACACACTTCTCTGTCCGGCCCAGGTCCAATTCTGGTAACRTCTGCGCAATGGTCTCCCTGGCTTCTGTCTACAAAGTAGAGGCACAAATACAAAATGATATTATGTATTACAATTCACTCATTCAACCTGTAGAGGCTGAAAGTTGTAAAAAAAAGTAAAATGCCAAGATAAGMAATGCTATGGCTAGTCAAGGCCACAATTTCCTAAGAAAACATTGATCGAAGTTAGAATATTTACAAATATTATGAACGCATGATTATCTGTGAAGATGTTCTCTGATTGAGAGTCTACTAAAGCAGTGGAAATAAAAAATAAATAAATTAACAAAAAAAAAACTAAATGTTTTTTAAGGTTGGTACTTTCAGAAAGATTTCAAAACTGTCTAAATCTGACTGTTAAAATAAATATCTCAGATGTCAGTTTTTAAATCCTTTGTTAAATAATGAAATAAAATATCTACTGAAAAGTTACAATAAGTACAAAAATAATCAAGTCATTTTAACTAAAGAGTTTGCATTTGTTTTAAAAGCAATCAAGGTTAATTTAAAGTCATGCATGTGTAGTTCAACATTCAGTTTAAATGCAAAAAACAGATTTATTTTATGGATAAAAAAAATCAATTGAAGAACTAGTAAAGAATGCAATTAAAGTTCAATTTTCTTAATAGAAATGACCCCATTAATAATATGTTGAGAATAAAAATAATCTCTGCAATACGCACAAAAATAAAGAGTGATAAAAGTGGTTATAGATCAATTTGGCATAAATAACATGAAGTTAAAACATTTAAGAACCCCTACAGAGAAAATCAAGTTTTCCTTTCTTATTAACGTGTCCATGCAGCGTTAAGACTAGAGGACATGAGCAAAATAAGCAGTCAGTACCCTGCCTGAGGGTTTCCATTTTTGACTCAAAAACTAGATGTTCCAAGAAGCTTGACTTACATACCAATTTTTTTATGTTTTGTTTTACAAACAAGGTTACCGACCAATCAGTGTCAARGGAAACATGTCGGGCAGTAATTGCTTATCATGTTGACTCGAGGTGAATAAATCAAACAACATCTGATATGAATAAATGAAGCCTTTTCAAACTTGTATAAAACACAGGCATACAGTATATGTAAACACACTTTTATGACCATCGTAAGGTACACATAGCAAAAAAAGCTTCCTGTCACAAGGAGCAAATACAACTGTACAGAAAATACAACTAAATGAAAGACATTAGTAATATTTTCTTTTTGTGTGTGTTAAAACTGTATTGAATTTACAATCATTTAATTTAATTGTATCGTATGTGTACTGTATATTGCCTTTTTCCAGGATACCCTAAGCAAAAAAAGAGTGAAGCAGTGCATTGGCCACATCAAATGTTGGTACTACCTGGCGTGGCAAAACTATACTAATGCCAAATTGTTTGTAGGGCATATGTATGCACATGAAGCCACTATAGAAACTGCATAGCATAATCATTTTTTTTTACTAAAACATGGATTCCGTACCTGAGGCAGAGGTGAAGACGACCCATAKTGCCCCTACGACACAMCACTGGTGCCTGATCCACTACCCAKCAAAAGAGCAAGACTAGAATCTTATWTCACCAAATGATATTGAGTCAATCAAAAGCCTTGTCAAGTTTTTGGTCAAACAGTGGATGAAGCCATAGAAAATAGATAAGTTACAGAGATGTCACTATGTGACATGGGAATGAAGAATACTACATCTTCACCRAAAGACCTGAGGTGAATTCCAAGCCTTGAAGACTACACACGAGGAGGCTAATGCACGAACGCTTCTTCGCGCCTTTCATGTAGCTCAGGATAGTTACAGATTTATAGCCRTTACAGCTGAGGACTCAAATGTGTTGTTACTGTGCTGATACATAAACGGCTGGGTCTGAGTGGTTAAAGCAGTCRTCCTCCAATGASAGARTTGGTGGTTCATATCCACTGCTATTCAGTCACATGTTAAAGTGTCCGTGGGCGAGACACTGAACCCCCCACTGACTCTGATGACAGTGGGGTCTATAGAATGATTTATCCAGATTAGCTTTGTAGARATAGTAGAGTGCTGTGTGAATGRGTAAATGAGAACAAGGATTTTAGTGTAAAGCACTRTSAGTATCCTGGTTGGACAGAAAGGTGTTATACAAGTACAGTCCATTTATGATTTAAATGTGTTTAATTCAGCAATAAGAATGCCTGCTCCCTGTATCAGAAACCTGCACTAGGTACATAGACATTTTCTAACTTGCAAGCTTGTTGTGAAAAGCTGTGTGCATGGAAGCTTCTTAAACAAAGTGAAACCTACAATCAGATCTTTCAGCATCTTGGTGGGAAATGGGAGGTTTCCACAAACTTATTTAACAAGTTGCAGGAGTTTGTGTTGGATGCATGACTCGACTTCACCCATCAAAGTGGTCAATGAACTTTACTACCAACTCCTTAACAAAAAAGAGAAGAGGGAGAATCAAGCCAGCTGCCACCATGTATGTTCTTGGTGCAAATTATCAGGCTGCAATTTGGCAGCATTGTCTTGTGGTGCCTGATTTAAAGGGGCAATATCATGTAAAATCAACTTTTTTGAATTTTATATCATGTTATAATGTTACACTCTCATAAAAAACATGCCTAAAGTCTTACTTTGAGAAATCCTGCAACGTTTTTAGGAAGCCATGCTGAGGAGCAAAACGACAGGTGGGGACCAGAAACGCCTTTTGGTAACGTCCCTGGGACGTGTCTTTAAGCTGAACTTCCTCATGGCGGAGCGCCCTCTCCCCTCCCCACACCCCCCGCCCATGACTCCTGCAGGCTCTTGGGTGAAAGTGAAAGTGAAACTTAACTGTCTGCTGAGCTCTCAACATTAGTTCTCACTCAGTGTAGCTCTTTTCAGATTAAAAATACCTTTGAGGAAATGTATTTTCAGATGCCAAGTAAACTGCATCATAGGCAGCCCCCCCCCCCCCACCGCACCGAAATGGGCGGGACAGAAGCAGAAGGAGGTTCCTAAAGAGATAGAGGCCAATTTCAAGGCGTTTAGAAGAGGAAGTGATGAGAAGATAAGTTTATTTTCTATTTAAACATAAAAACAGCTTTTTTATAACAACTAAAGGTGACACAGATACTTTATTAAGATAAAGTATTTAAATATATGCCTGAGAAACACATAATATTGCCCTTTAAATGAATGGTTGATTGATTATCAAGCTGCATGTTATGAAAAGTTAATTTAGTCACTCAGTCAGGTGTTTTGGATCAGAAGAACATGTAAAACATGCACAATAGAAGTCCTTGAGGACAACGATTGATCSCAAACTTCTGTCTTGTGATTGTGAGTTTTATGATTTTCCTCTAAKTTGCTTCCACATCCTTAGAACAATTGTGGGAATTGCCTAAAAAGTGTTTGCTGCTGTATTTTTGTATCTCAAGTAGCAACAACCAGTGTGTTGAGGGACAGCTGTCAATGAGCTCCTTGGTTGAACCTTAAGAGACACCACGGCTGTAGCTTTACAAATAAGAACACAACTTATCTATTGTGAATAAGAATTCCTTGACAATACTACATTCTTATTGATAACTGACTATTCCAGCAAACTAACTTGTGTCAGGTTCACACGGCAAGATAATTGTGCAGATTTTTGGCCCAATTTTTCCCTTCCAACATTCKTAAAGGCACTCCGATTATCATAAYGGCTCTGAAGATAACCTTATGAGGTATTCCTGCCATGTGTGGTGTGTTCAGAGGTGGCTCTGAAAGACGGACCRCTCTGATCTCAAATTGGGGATATTCGACATGTTGGATTGTCTTGGTCTGATATCCCAGCGTGTGTTTTGTGTTCCCAGAGGACAAACAAGCATGCAGCCTATTGAATGTGACGTGTAGCCAATCAGAATGTGAAGTGAATAAAACATGGAGGAGAACCAAAAATACAGAAGACAAAGCCACTGCCATAGATCAKCAGAGAGTTTGGTGGGCCTTGAGACGTCTTTTTAAGTAGTTTTTTTCTCTGTTAAAAATAGTCCACAAACTWTCACCATTGCTCCTTCCTTGTCTGCCATGTTTATTTACTCTAAACTCATGTTTGATCTTGAGAAGTCTCAAGAGATTTCCCATCCGAGATCTGAATGTTTGTGCATGAAATCTGTATGTGTGTGGTGTGTTGTATTTTGACGTGTGCCTGTAAGCCAAACCTGTTATACCAAAGATATTTTTATTGTCATATGTAGGTCTTTGGAAATCAACCAACAATTTTTAAATCTTGATGTGTGCAATAAGAGGTCAAATTTGGTAAGCTAGACTCAAAACAAACATTTATTATCAGCAAAACATTATTTGTTAATATAAACAAACAAGTCAAGTCTCAAAAAGCAAAAACAAGGCAAAGGCAAAATTCATCAGAATTTTGTGAGCAGAGGAGGAAGGGACTAAAAGAAGCCTAGACTTCTAACTTCTATCAGTAACTGAGAAGCACGACAYTATACTCAAACCAGATGCCGTGGCTACAGGAATGAAGAAAAAAAATACTAGGGTGAGGAAAGAGGCTCTGTGGGAAAAATGTGGTCTGAGTTAAGCACCATGAGGAAACAGTAGCTTATAAGGTGTCAGTTCGGATCAGTGACTGGACCTTCTGATTGTTTTGTGTATGCATGTGTCTATTTAAACTGGGATTCTCCTYCCTGAGCTGAACTTCAGTCACAAGACCAACTATTTTAGGAGTAACTTAAAACTCAAAAGACTACCTGGTTAAATCAGTAAGAGTTAGAGCTTCTTATTAATAAAATAACACAAAATGGCAACTAAAATATAGCATGAGAGAATGATAGCTAATATGGTTTCATGCTATGTGATAAAACCCTTCCTTGATAGTGGGTTATTCGCATAAGTGTTGATGATTTGTTTCTTTTTAATCAGTGTTGAATATCTTATGTGTGACACTGATAGCTGAATTAATGCAAGCCCTGATTTGGCAGAGAATAAAAAAAGGAAGAGAGCCTATAGATCAAAACTTCTTGTAAAAACTACCCAACACCAGAGTCAACTTCAGTTCAGTTTAACGTGAGCCTAT